CGGGAGACTTGGGATGTTTGCATTTATTAATCTCTATCACATTTCATCCTCTTTTTACAGTATAATTTCCCCTCTCATCTGTTTCTTCCTCCTTCTCCTCCCTTTTCACTCATATTTTCTCTTGTACCTATGTACAAAGAGGAAGGGAAGTATGGTTAAAAACCAATGTACAGTTAAAGATGGATCTTGTGTTTGAAAACAAGTTTATCCGGAAGAATTTTGGATATGATCAAATTATCTTTTCACTAATTTAGAGAACTTGGAATGTTTTCAGACCAATTCACGGTGCAAATTCATTAGGTGAATAAAACATTATTTGGCAAAATAATGCTTTGTTGAATGATTTGCTTAATTAGGAACCACTAACCTTTAGTTAATGATCCTTTACCCTCTTTGAAATAGCTAGCAGCGAATAGACATCAGGATTCCACTAAATGAATCTTGGTCATACTTGTTAATGGGAATGTAATGAGCATAAGAGGAACATATAAACACTTTTGTTATTTCAGTGTTTAAACCCTTAGTGAAATAAAGCTTGTCCAAGCTTCAACAACAGCTCAACACATGTTTCTGTATAGCATAGCATGGCATGCAGTTCATTCTATTAGCGTTTGTCTCTACTCATCAGTAAACACAGGAAAAGGTTCAACATCATCAAAAGACATATTATTTGTTCTGTCACCAATTATGCCAGAACTGCAAACCTTTTTGTCCATGTCCATTGAAGGGCTTCAGTTTCATCCAGCTGCAGCTCAGCAATCAGGGCAGCAACAACCAGAGGTTTTTTTGTCTCAGTCTCACAGCAGGGGTCCCCTTTGTCTCAGTGGCTCACCAAGGCAGGCTTCTCATCCAGTCTTGCTCTATGAGTTCTGAAACTCAACAGAAATGTGTTGCACAATGTCTGTTGTGCAGCAGTTTAGTTCTGAAAGGTTAGCACAATGACCCATTCTTGATGATTCTGGAGATGTAGGTCCCCTTGGGTCTGCATCTCCACTGTGGTGGAGAACCAGCCAAAGCGGACCCCAGCTTCATGGGCAAGGGAGAGGAGGCAAAAAGAGAGAATTCTGTGTGCTCTGTGATTTTGTCTGTCCTCACACAGAGGTGGGTGGTTGGTCACACCTCTGTGGGCTGCCATAAGACTTGCCTGTGGAGGCCTTGGCTGAAAAGGGGGGTTGCAGAGGTCCCCCAGCTGTTACTCACCAAACTTGCTTTCTCTTCTCTGGTCATCATGTCAAGATGAAATATAGACACTGGTTCTGAATGTCAGAGAAGCATGATCATGGCATATGGCTTATATGTATGTATATATTAGGGGTGGAACGGTTCAAAAAATCCACGGTTCGGTTCGGTTCACGGTTTCGTGGTCACGGTTTTCGGTTCGGTTCGGTATATGTTTATTGTTACACCAAAAAATAAAAAAATTAATAAAAATTATAAAAATTAATGAATTTTTTTAAAATGAAATTTATGAAAAAATCCAAAAAAAATGAACTGTAATTATTTTTAATGAAACCATGGATAATTTCCGCATGTTTTGCTGCTTTGAATTTAATAATTTTGCACATGCCCTCTATGATCTACAAGGAACTCAGAACCGAGCGGACGGGAGCCACAGTGGAGGCTGTAGGCTTTGCTTTGTGCAGGCGGTCTGGAGCGCAGCGGAGCGGAGTGGAGCTGAGCGTTGACGGATTATATAAAGTGCTTCTTCTGTTTACTACTGGTGGTTGGCTTTGGTCGCAGTTGTATACATATATATATATATATATATATATATATATATCCTTATTTACAACTTCTAGAAATCAGGGAGTTTTAGGCGGTCTTCTCTGCTTTTATCCCTGCATTTCATCTCATCAGTAACTGTGAAACATGAGGATAATCTGTTGTAAAATCCTTTATTTGTGCACCCATATGGGGTTCAGCCAATTTATCTGGAAATAAGTTCACCAGATTCAGAGTGTATAAAGTCATAAAATAGGGTTAGCATCCATTGAGGTGTATTGTCTCTGACAGCAGCTTGGTCTGACCCAAGATGGCTGCTCTGTTGGCACGCGTCTCACCTGATGGTGCAGGGTCAATCCATGTCTATAACAAAATCCACTACTGTAAAAATAGGATAGTGGTCACTTATTGGTGTTGTTTTTCCTACTACCCTCCATGTGCGAATGCCTGCTGATGAATCTGACATCAACGTAATATCTTTTGCTGATTCTATTCCGGTTCTAGTGTTAACTCTTTTTCCATTTCTGTCATTTAAACACACCAAATTGAACATCTCCATTATCTGTTCAGACACCATTCAGTTATCATTACAGCTACACCATAATGAGCTGAGTGTTAAAATCCCAACTGCAGATCAGCTTTCAATGGATGAACTGCCCAAGTTCATCAATCAATTCTAAAGACAAAGTATTACATGGATTGTAATGATCAACTTTGACATTTGATTATTTTGTCCATACTTTAATTTTTAAATATTCCAAGTCCTATGCTTTCCCCACATCTCCACTAACTTCACTTCTATCTGTATGGACGCAATATATATATATACTGTATATATATATATATATATATATATATATATATATATATATATATATATATATATAAACTAATAAATATTAGATGAGCCTTCCTCATCAGTTAGCATTTACCAATACAATGTAACTATGCTCCCTTTGATATATTTCCACTGCTTCCTCCTCTAATTGAGTGCTTTGAAAAAAGGCTTACTAAACATTTTTTATTCTCTGCCTTGCATCCTCAGTATTTTCAAAAGTTACATTGTGGGCAGACTTAAAGAAAAAACATTTTTGTTATAGTTTCTTTATTACATGTGATTAAACTTCTGCACACCTTACAGAGCATCACACACAAGAAATTATTGTTGTAATAGGTAAACGTTAATATTTTAGCCCATTTTGGACTGAAACTAAAGAAGAGAAAAAAAATGAAATAAAAAGCACAGAATAAACTACAGTTTTGTATCACAACACAATCTATGCATATATATACTGTTGTAGATATTGTGAAACTTTGCTAGTGTTTAATCCTTTCTTATTAATATACCTTCAATGTTTTCAAATTGATAATCTTTTCCTTTAGTTGAATTTCTACTTAGAATATGACATATCTGTGACCTTTGCTATTGTTTGATTATAGTACATCAACATGCAAAACTTAACACTTGGAACAGATGAAATTAAACTTCTCACTAACATTTTCTTTCACCCACTTATGTTCTCCTTCTTGCTGCATGGCTCCAGACATGTCACAGTCATCTATCTTTAATTCTAAGGCCCAGTTCTCAAAAATGAGAACTTCATCAGTGACCCAGAACCACACATCTAGAGTGCAGGCATAGTGCAGTCCCATCCAAACAAAAGGACTCGAGGCAAACTGGGTTTCCTGCTGGACGGACCTCTGCTCATCAAGGTTGGAGATGGTGACCAGGTCACGGTAGTGAGTTCTGCAGTAGCGTAAGGCTTCTTCCCAGGTTTTGTTTTCTTGAATCAAGATCATGTTGTCTGTTGTAGAATAAAATTACAAAAAAACACAATTTGTGGACCAGGATCTTCAATTTAACATAATTCTTTAATATCGATATGTTTGCGTGTTAATCCAAAAAAATTTGGAATGACAACATTTTTATACACATATATTATTCAAAATCAGGCATAAATAAGGCTAAATATAAAATATATTGCTTCTGGGAGTACTTTACTACAAATAAACACAATGAAAATGTTTTACCATACATAAAGAATACCAAATAAATATTTTTGAAGTAAAATCATGGTTGGAGCTAGATATATTATCTTGAAATCTTGCAGTTAAACTCACCATCATAACAGATGAAGGGTTTTTTTGTCGTGCAGTTGTCATTCTTCCATCTGCCTCCATCATCAAACGCTGTCATGGCACATTGACCACTGTTGTATTTCTCATCATTAAACGTAAGGTTCCAGTGTCTGAAAGAAAAGCTGCTTCCATCTGACCACCTCCAGGTGTCTCTGAACAGACCAATATACACATTTTTATTTTTAGGTAGAACATTTTTCAGTTGGTCGTCCTTCAGCTGGTCCAGTCCACTGCTCAGGTCTGTGTGTTTCTCTCTGCAGTAACTCTGAGCTTCCAGCCAGGTCTTCTCCTCTTCAATTAAGAAGAATTTCTCTGATGTTTTATTTTCTGTGAAATAAACATTTCAGAGAGGAGGACCTTAAAGCAGCACAATAAGATGCATAAATCTTTGAAAGTCTGCACTACTTTCCAACACATCAGTTAATTATAAAAATCCCCCCAGCCATCCTAACATGAGTGAAACTTACATTTTATCCTAATTCTTTTAGTTCAATATAAAACGTGAGAGAAATGTTTTTTTCTTACTTTTATAGCAGAGAAAGAACAGTTCCCTGTTGCAAGATATGTCTCCCCACTTGCGAGACATATCATTTATATTTTCTATAAACCCACAGTTTTCAGTTTGTTGATCATTTGGTTCTCCTGTGTTCCAGTTTGCCTCATTGAACTCCACTCCAGGCAGAGACCAGTACCATGTTCTGTTACCATCTGTCTGATCATACAGACCAATCCAAGCTTCTGTTATGTTTCCTGCTGAGTTACTGAGGAGTCTCTTCATGTCTGCCATGTTAGACACGGTGGCCAGGTCAGTGTGTTTCTCTCTGCAGTACTGCTGAGCTTCAGTCCAGGTCTTTTCCTCATTAATGTAGTGATACTCATAGAGTTGACAAACTATCAAACAGTGCTGAGCTAAAAATAAATAAAAAAATACAGGATTAATAAGCATTGATAAAAGTCTGTGGTGATTGTGGTTAAAATTTTTCTACTGCAGTATTTATGCAAAGTTTCTTACCAAACAAAGTAACCAGCAACAGATCCCACTGCATTTTTCCTCCGGTGGATTTAGTTGATTTGTTGCTACTTTTTTTCTCTCAATAATCTTTTCTGTTGGATAAATTTTAGTACTTTGTCTTAGTAAATAGAATTTTTGTTTTGTTTTTTCTTGACAGACCTCTGCATGTATAAGAAAAACTTTAGAAGGCAACATGTCAACATGAAACATCCAGCAGAATATTTTAAACTATTACGATTAATCATAATACTCAATATGAAATAAATTAAAATAGCTGAACTCGTTATGCAAAAGTCAGTTTTATAAGAAAAAAAGAAGTAGAACAAACATTACAACAACAATAAATTATAACAGAGTAGTTTTTGATAGTTGCCAATGGAAGACTATCTCTGGTATAATTAATAAAAATAAATATCTGAACTGTATTTAAAAAAGAGAAACTTACATCTGGCTTTGTCTCTCACTCAGATTTTGGAGAATGAATGTCCTGATGAAGACAGTTCTTACTAAATGCGCAGTTTTGCTGAAACAGACCGACTAAGGAACTAAATGTGAATATTTATGGATAAACACAACATGCTGTGCAGGAAGTTTTAATTCATTTGCATTAAAAAACTGAAAAGAGCTATGATGTAATAGAATAATATAAATAGAGGAAAAGAGATTTTGTTTCTCAGGCCTATTTATTTCATTTAATTTGAGTGAGATTCCTCTTTTTTTTATTCCGCTGTGATTCTGTCTGTGCTGCTGCAACAAATTTATATCTGACTGCCAGGTGTTTTGTTGTACTCTGGAGAAAT